AAAGGAAATCGCAGATTTCGTGGCCAAATGCCTAAATTGCCAAAGGGTGAAGGCCGAACGATGCAAACCCAAGGGACTCGTACAACCCCTTGAGATACCACAAGGAAAGTGGGATTCCATATCCATGGACTTCGTCGGAGGGTTACCCCCAACAAAAACCGACAAGGATAAAATTTGGGTCATAGTGGACCGACTAACCAAAACGGCGCGATTCATTGCCATGAAGGAAACATGGACAATGACACAACTGGCCCAAGCCTACTTGAGCCGAATAGTGAAGTACCACGGAGTCCCTCGGAACATCGTGTCCGATAGAGACTCTCGGTTTCTCTCACAATTCTGGAAATCACTGCAACTAGCCTTGGGGACATAACTAAAACTGAGCACCGCCTTCCACCCCACCACTGACGGCCAAACCGAGAGAACCATTCAGACCCTCGAAGACATGTTAAGATCCTGTGTGTTAGACTTTCAAGGGACATGGGAGGAACACCTAGACCTTATTGAATTCTCATACAACAACAGCTACCACGCGAGCATTCGTATGGCGCCCTACGAAGCTTTATACGGACAGAAGTGTAGAACCCCCTTATGTTGGGAAGACATGGTCGACCCAGTAGCACTAGGGCCCCAATACCTACAAGATACCATAACCAAGGTCAAACACATCCAGTAAAGGATGAAGGCTGCCCAGGACCGCCAGAAGTCCTACGCCGACCTAAGGAGGAAACAAGCAGAATTCAACACCGGGGACAAGGTCTGGTTAAGAATCTTGCCCACACGGGGGGTGATGAGGTTCGGAAGAAAAGGGAAACTCAGCCCACGAGCGGGGCAGAACGAGTTGGGAACCTAGCCTATCGCCTCGCTCAACCCGTTGAACTAGAACGAGTACACAACGTATTCCACATATCCCAGCTAAAGAAATACGTGCACAACCCAAGCCACGTGCTCCAACCCAAGGTCGTGGACCTCGACGAGTCCCTGGTATACGAAGAAAAACCCGTGAGAATCCTGGACACCAAGACAAGAACCACCCGACGACGAGCCATAGAAATGGTGAAAGTCCTCAGGACCAACCATGGGACCGAGGACCAACCAAGGAACGCTACCCCGAACTTTTCACACCAGGTAACCAAGAAGAAGTCACTTGACGAGGACCAAGCTTCGGGGACGAAGCTTCTTGTTAAGGGGGGGAGAGTGTAACACCCCGTGTTACGATCCCTAAAACCAATTAATCATTTAACCAATTACCCAAAAGCAAGAATTAAATCACAATAATTAATTAGGAAAGGCCCACCATAGTCCATGGGCCCTTATCCCTAAACCCAATCCTTAGTCCTAAAAGGAATAGAGTTAGCAAACCTATAGTAATTAGGCCCTAAGTAAGACTCTCAAATATATAAATAGGGAACATAAGGAGGCACCTAGAACTCCCACCACAATAATCTCTCACCACACCAAGAATTCCAAGAATTCCCCTAGGAGAAATCAAGAAAGAAGAAAGCTTAAAGAAAGACCCTTCATAGCCAAGGAATCAATTAAGGCTAAGAGGTAACCCATGTCTCAACAAAACCTATTTTCATAGCTATGATTCCCCTCTTAGGATTTCCCCATATTATTGTGTATTGATGATTTGTGATATTATTATTGATGATTGGTGGGATGATTCCATGGGTGATCTTGATGATGAGAGGTTTTTGACAATTATGGTGTTCTTGACGATTATATGACGTTCTTGATAATTATATGGTGTTCTTGATATTCTTAATGATTATATGAGGTTCTTGATAGTTGTATGATATTCCTACCGAATCTTGATTTTGGAAGATGAATTGTGTTCTTGTTGATTTAAAAATAATTAGATCCCTAGGTTATATCGTGGAATTTGTATGGTATTATTCTTGGTATATTGGGTGGGAATTCGCATGATTGGGTGTTGATTATGTTTAGAAAAGCATGATAGGTTATGTGCCATATGTTTCTTGATTTTGATCCGTTAATTGTCTACGTGTGTTATCAATTGCGTTTGAAAGTGTCTAAGCATGGTTTCGGGTTCCACAAAGGTTCCCGGGGCGTTTTGGTGAAAAAGAGTCAGTGGGGGGTAGGGGACCCGCCACCTACTCGCGGCCTATTTGGGCAACGCCGGCAGCGGGCAGCCGGCGGGCGGGCAGCTGCCCGCCGGGCACCCGCTGCCCGGAATAGTGCCGCCGGCGGGTGATCCCTCACCCACCGGCTACCCGCTGGTTTGTACCCCACCTTGGGATTTTGGCTTCCCCGTTTGATGTTCCCCCGACCCCCGTGGTGTCCCAACGGACTCCGTCTATCGTGCCTATGTCTAGTTTGATATTTCGGGTACCGTTCGTAGGTTGTATGAGTCTTATATTTTACATGCTAGTTGAATTGGTATCCCGTTGACCTAGGTGAAAGAAGTATGAACCCATTAGGATTATTCTTAGTATGTGAAGGATCACGCATAGGTTTTGTTATACGTTTTCTCCCCCTTCCCAATGTGCTAATGTGGGTTGCATGTGCTTACTATGTGTTATGTGTGCATGATACCCCAATTCGGTTGCGATCGGATTGGTCATTCCTAAGCTGCGGTTCAGAAGCTGGCTGCGGTCAGATTTACACTCTTGGGCTGCGCTCCACCGTTTGGTTGCGATCAAGCGTTTCTACATGAGCTGCGGTTCATATTTCCTGGCTGCGGTCAGATGACATACTCTTGGGCTGCGGTCCACTGTTTGGTTGCGATCAAACTATGATGAGCTGCGGTTCATCGGTCGGTTGCGATCGACCCCTCCGTGTTGCGATACGGGGCAGGGTGCTGCGGGGCCGTGTTAGAGCTATATGCGCTGACCCTCATGTATGGGCATGCGATTGGTCCTGTGGCGCCAAAAAAGTGTGCTATGTGATGATATGGATGAGTTGTTGTTATGAGTATCTTGGGGATGTGACTATGGGATCTATACCGGGAATCGTATATGTTGGATTATGATTATTAATTGTGCTTATCTTACCTGTCTTGCCTGTTGTAAACTGTATATGCTTGGTATAACTGCTGTCTGTGCTTAGCCCTATCTGTGAGTCGATCCCTGTTTTAAAAGCTAGAGTCTCGTAGGATATATCTTCATGCTTCAAATCGGTTTTCGTATATCTATATATATGTCTATATGTATTGTATTTCAACGCGTTGGAGTGGGTTACCAGCATCTCTCGCTGAACAGATATATTTGGCTTTCAGGCATAGACGAGTAGATCACTAGAGCGCGCTAGAAGCTTGGGGCGTAGCTAAGATAGTTTTCCCATTCGGCCTGCGTGCCATGATTTAGTATTGATACTGATTGAGGTTTTAGAATTTAGCCTGTGCACCTGAGTTCTCTAGCTCGGGTGTGGCATAGCACCCCGTACTCTTTGTATCGTATTTTGGGATTTAATGAGATCCTATCTTTATTACATAAGTTTTAAAAGTCTTGAAAATCTGGGGTGTTACAGGCCGAGGTCGACCTCCCTGCTCGTGGGGTCGGTCTTGCCGTGGTCGAATATACCGACCTCGACCCGCGTGTCGCCTGTTCCTCCTTGTCACGTCTCCAGCCTCATCAATTGGCTAGAGCCCAAGACACCGTGGGGCCGGGCGTTGAGGTGGTGGCGCCTACTCCGGATAACAACGTGACCAACCCGCCAGAGGTCGGCTTCTTTGGTATCCACGTCCTCTCCTTGTCGTACGGGTTCCGTTTTCCGATTCACCCCTTCGTGTTGTCTCTCCTCAACCATTACGAAATTGCTCCGGGCTAACTAGTCCCGAACTCCCACTGTATGGTTCTGGCCTTTCTTCTCAGGTGTCGGGAGGTACGCATGGAGCCTTACCTCGATCTCTTCAACTACCTCTTCCAGGCCGTGGGCTCCTCGGGCTGTTCGAGCAAGGGGTGGGTGTCCTTCTCAGCTCGCTCCCATATGAAAACTTTTCAGGATCTCAACTCCTCAAACCACGAGTGAAACCCAAGTTCATGTTTATCTCTGTTGGCCCTGAGCTCCCTTTCGTGTCTGCCTGCAGCCCTCGATTTCGGAAACACGTCACACCTCGAAAGGGGGCTACCCTGTTGGAGGACGTTCGCGTTTTTCGGCGTGGTGTCCTGCCTATATACATAGCGCCGATGGTGAGTGAGGAGAGCTTAGCAGGTTTGGGGTTCACACGAGGCACCCCGCTTCTTCCTAACCTGTCGGGGCCTCCGGAGGGCGGGCCCGAGCCCCTTGTTGTGGATACGCCCACCTCGAGCGAGAGTTCGGGCGACAGGGCGTTCGAGTTCTTGCCGCGCGGTGGGGCCGAGTCCCCCGGTTCGAATGGCGCCGGGCCGTCCCGTACGCTCGAGCTCTTACTCGACGATGAACTCGAGCTATCATTGACATGCCCAGAGGTTGGTTTTTGACACCTGTTTCTATTTTGCTTGCACAATCAATGATACTCATTGTTTTGACCTTGATCTCGTTTGTTGCTGGCAGGTAATTCCCTCCTCATGGCGGATCACGTGGAGAGATATCGTGAAGCCAAACGACAGAGGACTGCTAGAGGAGGTGGGGCGGGCGCCTCCCGGGCCACCACCACTGGTGCATGTACCCGTGCTATTGCCGTAGCGGCCCCCTCTAGGGTCCCGGCCCCACCTGCTCCGCCACAGGGCGCACTTGCCGCTCCACCCCGCCCAGACTTGACTCCAGTGCGCGGGTCCCCCGTCCACCCCCGGGAGCTTCTTCATGGTTTGGTTGCTTCTCATGGACCGGCATCTTCTGACCTGGGTGACTTCTATGCGCGTCTTCTTGAGGTATTTTTCATCTTTCCTTCTTTTAGTCGTACCATACATGCCTCCGAGAGGTGTGCATACCTTATGCTTGCCTCCGGGGGGTGTGCATACCTTATGTTCTTGCCTTCGGGAGGTGGGCATACCTTATGCTTGCCTACAAACAAAACCGGAGCTCCCCATGGCGATGTACTGGGCTGGATATAACCTTTATCGAGGAGTTCTTGCAATTGGGTCTTCAACTCTTGCTGGGGCCTTAGAAATGGGTGCAGTGCCTGGCATAAGGTCCACTGAGAACTCCACTTCCCTAGTAGGAGGCATACCCGGTATTTCCTCGGGAAATACATCAAGACATTCACGGACTACGGGTATAGATTGAGCCACTTCCCCCTTTGCCTTCAAGTTATCGACCGAACACAAGTACAACTCATTGCCTTTATCCATATACCTCTTCATCTTTGTCATAGACACCAGCTTAATCCCGGGTTCTTCCAACTTTCCACGATATGACACCCTTTTCCCGCTGGGTCCTCGTAGCACCACCTTCTGATCTTTGCACAGGATTTGGGCTCTAAACCGCCCCAACCAGTCCATACCTAAGACCACATCCATCCCGTCCAAGTCGTACTGGATTAGATCGCTAGGGAACTCTTCTCCCTTGATGTTGATCTTGACGCCCTCGAAGAGGCGGTCACACACTCTAACTTCTCCCGATGCTACCTTCACGTTAAACTTCACTCCCGTGCCCCCAGATAAGCCCAACTTCTTCACCAGTCCGGGTGATACAAACGAGTTAGACGCTCCTGAATCAAACAAGACTGTTGCTGGCACAGATTGCACAAGGAAGGTTCCCACTACTACGTCACTATCACTTGTTCGAACTTCATTTAAGGTAAGCACCCTCTTTTGAGATGACCCTTCCGCCGGATGATGAACTTGTATCCTCCCATGTCCTCTTACATCTCGGAATGCTGACAAGGTAGCTGCACTAGGACTTACTCTTGCGGACGTGCCATCCTGGATCCACCGTTCAATCACCCCAGAAGCATTACTAGATCCGGCCAACCGAGATTTCTTAACCACTTCACCCACATCTTCAAACGTTGTGGTTCGCTAGCGAGGAGGCATCACAGACTTCTGCTACAACAACGAGGTTACCAAAAGATAGCAAACAAGCACGACAGAAAGCAATACACAGCTCACCGCGCAACCTAGAGTCCTAAGCCTAACACTTAGCTTCTTAAGGTCGCTTAGAGGTCTCAGAACACACTTAACCACTTAGAAAGTCTAGACTTAACTCTTCCTAGGCTCAAACCTAGGCTCTGATACCAACTGCAACACCCCCCAAACAAGGCCTAAATAAAAGCCCTAACACATGCAGATTAAACAACAAAACTAGCACAACGGAAGATAAAACGAGAACTGGATAAAAGAAATCCAACGGGGTGTCACGCCACGTCTACCAAACACGGTAAACGCTACGACAAACAATCTGCAAGTGTATACATCTATCCCAAAACATCAGTCTAACTACATTGGCGCACAGGCCACAAAAACAAGGATAAAGGTGCTAAGCTACCAGGCACTAGACATCGCGCTCGTCTAAACATCAAATGAAAGATACAAAGATAAACATTAGGACGACGCCCGGTCAGCGATAATGCTGGTAACCCACCAATACCGTTAAGTATCATATATAGATAGATATAAGCCATAAAACCATTTTTGAAACGGAATACATAAGTATATAAGTCAAAAGCCAAGATCAACAGTCAACACAAGACTCATCACTCACAAAAGATGACACGGGAACAAATCCCAAACCACAAAGGTTAACCACAACACAAAGGAATAAGACTCACCCATGGCAAAACATGCCCTTGTGACTACACGCGTCACAAGAAAGAGAACTCACCACAACGGCTACACAAGCCCTCGTGACATCACCCATTACGAGTTGATATGCCTTCCTTATGCCCTGTTCCAACCTTATGGCTACCCCCAACCTTGTACCTTCATGCCAACCATTACCTCCAGGACCCCTGTACTTCTTAGTCCAACCTTTTCCCTCCTGGGACCATTGTAACACCCCGTGTTACGGCCTTCAATCCCGGATTAATTATTTAATTAATCCCGTTAATAATAATTAAATATGATTTAATTATGTTAGCTTTACCTTTAATTAATTAGTAAGGTCCACCATGAACCGTGGACCCTTGCCCGAATAAGAGTCTTAAGCCTATTAGGAATAAAGGAAGTAGGCCTTTTACTATTCAGATTAGGATTAGGATTCTCTTTAATTAATATGGTCCACTATGGACCATGGACCCTTATCCCTAAAACAAGCCCTAGCCCTATAAGGAATAGAATTAGTAAACCCATACCATTCAGGCCCTAACTAGGAGTCTTAAATATATAAATAGGGAACTTAGGAGGCACCTAGAATCCCCACCACATTAATCTCTCACCACCCAAAGAGTTCCAAGAATTCCCCTAGGAGAAATCAAGAAATCAAGAAAGCTTAAAGAAAGATCCTTCATAGCCAAGGAATTAATTAAGGCTAAGAGGTAACCCATGTCTCAACAAAACCTATTTTCATAGCTATGATTCCCCCTTAGGGTTTCCCCCATATTATTGTGTATTGGTGAGATATGATGATTATTATTGATGTTTGATGTGATGATTCCATGAGGGATCTTGATAATCTTGATATTGGGAGGTTCTCGATAATTATGGTGTTCTTGATGATTATATGGAGTTCTTGATAATTATGTGTTGTTCTTGATAATTGTGTGATGCTCTTGATGCTTATGTGTTATTCTTACCGAATCTTGCAATTAGAAGACGAATCGTATCCTTGTTGATATAAAAGTGATTAGAACCCTAGGTTGTATCGTATGATATTATTCTTGGATTATCGGGTGGGGAAATCGCATGTTTGGGTGTTGATTATGTTTAGAAAAGCATGATAGGTTATGTGTTGTTCGTTTCTCGTATTTGATCCGTTAATTGTCTACGTGTTGTCGTTAATTGCGTCGTAAAGTGTCTAACCATGGTTTCGGGTTCCACAATGGTTCCCAGGGCAAAATTGTGTGATAAGAGTCAGTGGGGGGTAGGGGACCCGCCACCTACCCACGGCCGGTGATGTTATCACATCTTTGCTTGTTATTATAGTTATTTTGAATCATCTCAGTATTTAAGTTCTTTAATTTTGCTTATTTAATACATATTTTCCTTGCTATTATCATTTAATTATGGTTCACACTTGTTTTGAATGTTTTACGGTTTTGTTAGTGTTTTTGAACCATTTTAGGTCAAAGATATGAGCAAGGGAAGTTCAAGGATGAGTTTTGAACAATTTTGGACAAGTTCGGGGACCAGAGGACTCGACGCGTCGAAAATTTCCAGAAAGTTTGGTGATCGGGACCTGCTGGTCTCGACGCGTCGAGACTCAGCTCGACGCGTCGAGCGAAGGCGCGGAAATTAGAAGCAAAAGGGGCGTTGATATTCATACTCCAATTTTCCAATTCAAACCTCACATTCCATACAAAAATGCGTTGTCTTCATCAAATTAACTTCAAATCAAATTCCAAATTCCAACATCAAAACTCCAATTAAGTGGGATGGCAATTTCTTTTAATTAATTATAGGAATTATAATTTGAGTCCAATTTTGTACAAGATTCCTATTTCATCTCAACTTTGTACCCACTATAAAATCCCTCCTTCCTCAACCCTAATAACGGACTGAGAGATTTTTAGAGTTCTTTGTAGACAAGAAAGAGAGAAATCAAGAGGCTCAAGTCGTCTTTGGAAGCAAGGAGGAAGCCAGGGAGATTTGGGAGAATCGCTTGGTTAATTCTTGTACTCTTCTGATGATTTGTAATCCTTTATTCATATTTGCTATGTATAATTTAGCCATGCTCGGCTAAATTTCTTAAGGATTTTTGGGTGAATTTGTTTATGAACCTATGTGCCTAGTTCGTTAATTTCTTAATATATTTATGTTTGGTTTTATGATTTGTGTTGCAATCTTGTTTTAGTCTGTTGTTGTTGATAGTTAAAGGCCTAAATTACTAGCTTCACAGTCATGTTTGTGTCACCAATGGGAGTTGGGGCATAAATTAGGGCACACACGATTGCACCTAATGGTTGGTCCTTGGGAAAGGGGAACTTATTAGGGGAAGTTTATTCTAGATTATTGCTCATCGGGAGATGGTAGTAATTAGGAATAATTGAATGCTGATCTTTGATCTTATTGGGTGTTTAAGCCATGGGAGTGGAAATTCACTAGGAATAGAGATTACGGGAGTAATTCGATTCCACTTTGCATTCCCATACAAATCTTCATTCCAAACCAAATATTACAAACGTTAATTGGCACTAGGTGATTAAACATTGTGATCCCAAGAATCCTATTTTGCTCTATTGTCTACAAAACCTTGCTACTTATTTTATTCTGCTTGTTATTTTATGCAATCAATCAACCTTCAAGTTTTGTTCGGACTAGTTTCATATGAGTAACCTAGTAGCTAGTGATTAGTACACCACCTCTCTGTGGTTCGACAACCCGAATACTCCGGGTATTATTTGTTTGCCCCAAATTACAGTAATCAAATTGGCGCCGTTGCCGGGGAGGTGGCGTTACATACTGACATTAGTGAAAGTCTTGCTTTAGGAGTCTAGTTCATTTTTTTCTTTTATTTATTTAATTTATTTATTTTATTTGCTTATCCATAACAAGTTCCTTGTTCTTGAGTGTGATTTTGCTTTGAATCTAAGAACTTGGCTTTTTATGAATACACGATCTCGTGGGAAAGAAGGATTATTACCTTTGAATCTTGAGATTGAGAAAAGAGCCAAGTTTCTTAGGAAACAAACTAGGATGGCACAGGTACAAGAAAACCAAGCTGGAGGGAGATCAATGTCTGACTACCTTGCTCCGGATGTTGAGGAGCATGGTAGCATCAATATTCCAAATGTGGAGGCCAATAACTTTGCGATCAATCCGGCCATACTTAGCATGGCGGCGGCAGATCGATTTGGAGGGATGCCCACGGAAGATCCCAATGCTCACGCCACCAAGTTCCTACGACTTTGTGGCACTTTCAAGATAAATGGAGTCACTCAAGATGCTGTCAGACTTAGGCTTTTTCCCTTTACACTGAAGGACAGGGCTGAAGATTGGTTATCCTCACATCCAGATAACCATTTTGACACTTGGGACAAATTACATGGAGAATTTTTGAAGAAGTTCTATCCTATCTCCAAAACTCAACGGATGAGAAGGGCAATTCAAAACTTTAAGCAACTGGCAACTGAGTCCCTCACTGAGTCTTGGGAGAGATTTAAGGAATTGAAGAGGCAATGTCCACACCATGGATTTCAGAGTTGGGATTTGATGATGTCTTTCTATGAAGGATTGCTGGATAATTCTAGGATTTTGGTGGATGCTTCTTCGGGTGGTTCGTTCACGATTCTAGAGCCAACACAAGCCGAAGAACTATTGGAGAAAATTGCTATGAATGGATCTACTTGGTACACGGAGAGGTCTCCACAAAAGCTTGTAGGAGGAATTCATGATGCGGGGCAGTTAGCCGATTTGTCAACAAAGTTGGATAATGTGGTCTCCTTGGTTCAAAAACTTGCCCAAATCACCAGCCAAAATCACAATTCAGGGGATTGTATCGACGAGTTAAACTCCCAAACCTCTATGGAGCAAGTTAATATGTTGGGATATAATAGGCCTCATCAACAGTCTTACCAACCTCAAGGGACCTACCATCCTAATAATTCAAGGAACCATCCCGGTTTTTCATGGAGCAACCCAGTGGGAGCTGCCAACCCTCAACACTTTGTTAATAGAGGTCCTCTGGGTTATCAAGGTACTCAAGTTCAATCTAAATTTCCCGTTTCAGAGGCCCCACCACAATCGAATACGGACGTTTTGTTGGAAAAATTGATTAAAGGTCAGTTAGAGATTACAGAAAGGATGGATAAAATGGAAGCTCGCCAAAA